ATTTTGAGCATAGGCAAGAAGAAATTCATGCTGAAGGTGAGTGTTGGCATGATGAGCTCTTAGGTAGGCAGAATGAGGGTTTGCTAGGATTGAGAGCATTCAGGATGAGCTCATGAGTAGGCACGATGAGGTTTTGAGGGTCTAGCGTCAGCTTTTGGATTTATATATGCTCCCTTCTCCTCCTCCAAGCCCTAAGCCTTCTGATATTTGAAGACATATTTTTCTTTCTATTTTAGACTTTTATTTTGCTTTTGAACTATGTGTCTTTATTCGTGGTTTGAACTTTGTATTTTGGCTCGTTTGGTTAGAACAATGCGTTTTAGATCATTGTAAACTCTATTGTGACGATATTTATGTGTTTGGATCATCCTCAATGTGTTTTATGCTGTGTTTGTGAGATTGGTGATTTGTTTTAGTCACGTGATTATCATGCAATATTCTTTTTGTGATATATATATATATATATATATATATATATGCATAATAGAGGGAGTAACAAGTGTTTAAGATTGTTAGGTTTCTTTTAGAGGTAATGCCTTAATCATCATTGCATATATTTTATATGGCATTTTGATAGGGGGGAGCAATCCCTATTATGATTATACTCACTCATGCATACATGTAGGGGGAGCATTCGCGCTCTTTCTATTTTGTAATTTTCTCTATTTTGATGTTGACAAATAGGGAGAAACGAGTAGTTTGTGGGTATATTGATTTGTGTTTGTAGATTTTATATTCATTTTATATCTATTGAGAAAATTGTTTGTCATCATCAAAAAGGGGAAGATTGTTAGGACTCATGTTTATGAGCCTACTATCTAATATAGTTTTGATGATTAACAAACAATTTATAACTGTGTATTTTTCCAGTATTTGTATTTTTATTTATCATGTATCCAGGTTGAAATGTTCAAGAACAATATCTACAATGAAGCCTATACAAATCAAGTCCAGAATACAAGAGCAAGCTTCATTCAAATCAACTTGTGTATGTTAGTATTAGGAGTTATACTTGTGTGCCAATAATTTAAGCTCAATGCATATTTTATATACACACACACGTATTTCTCATTTCTAGTATAAAATGTGTATTTTTGTAAAAGTATTGTGTTCTTGGTTTATGGACTTAATAATACCAGTTTACATCTTTTCCTAAGATTATAAACTCATTCAAAAGTTTTCAAAACTTTATTTAAGTTATTTTGTCAAAATCAAGTGCTCAAACGAACATGTATTTTTAAGATTTTACAAAATGATGGGTTTTCACAAATGAAAAATAATATTTAAAAATTTTCTTTTATAACATGTTTATTTTCATGTTTATAAATAATTCCCCAAATTTCATAATTTTTGGAATTTATGTGCTATTTTTAAATCCACTTTAAAGTTCAAATTCACTGTTTAAAACTGACCCTGAACATATTATCAGTTGACTGATAAGGTTATCAGTCGACCGATGAAAGTGGCTGGAATTATCAAATGTTTCTGCTTAGTCGACTGATGCACCATCAGTCGACCGAAGTAGCTCATCAGTCGACTAATGGTGCATCAGTCGACCGACGGGGTTTAAATAGCCACCAACCGTCAGTTCATCAGTCAACTGAACAGTACCATCAGTCTACTGACGGCACTGTAATGACTATATTTCCAGATTGCTAATTTTTAGAGATTTTGTCATTTTCTTTGGATTTTTCTTGGTTTTGGGGCTTTGTTTTGATAACCTATATATACTCCTTGGCCTCAACTTTCTGTGGCAACTAAGAAAAATTTAAAACAAGTTTGCAAGTATTTAAGTGTGTTTATGGAAGAGAGTTTCATAAGAGGAGGAGATCATTTCATTTCTTTTTTAGCTTCAATCTCACATCTCCATCACTCTTGTTTGCAGAGAAGTTTTGCTAAACCCAATCTCTAGCTTTATATATGTTTATTGTTGATTATCATTTTATTAAGCTAGATTATAAATTGACTTTACATTTCATTTTACTCATTGATGCACACACAACCTATTGAGCTTTTAGTATTTCATATTAAGTATAATTTGGGTTGTGGTGAGTGATAAATTGAGTGTGAGCTTAATTTAGTTCTTATATTGTTTAGAGAACAAATTATCTTTACTTGTGCTAAATTATTGAGAACACATTATAAAACACAAGGACACTTAGAGAAGTGGTTGGTGAGAGACGGGGTTAATTCTAAGAGGAGTGGCGTCGGTAGTAAATCCTAGAGAGAGAATTCCGAGCACTTGAGGAATGTGACATGGGCTAAGCCAACACTTAGAGAAGTGTGTTGTATGATTGCAATCGTGAGAGTTGTAAAAGTTTTCGGTGAGCTTGGAAAACCGATTGTATAGTTGATTTATTTGAGATAGTGGAGATTCTCCTCGAAGGTGAGGAGTGGAGATGCAGATCGTGGGTCGACCGAACTCTGTGATCAATTTCTTCGTGTTTGCGTTTGTTGCTCTTATATTGTCCATATCTTATATTCCTTGTTTATACCGTCCATTGTTTAATTATATATCCTTGCATATCTCATTGTATATCACTTTGTTAGGATATATTAGTTAATAAGGTTTAATTTGGCATTAAAATCAGATTAGATTAGTAAATACCCTATTCACCCCCCCCCCCCCCCACCCAATTTCATCTCTCATACTATCTCCTTCCTCTAGTTTCAGATTTATAACAATGTTAACCTAATTTAAAGTTAGGTACTAGTTAAGTCTCTCAGGGAGTTTAATGTGCCTTAAATATAAATTGGGTACCAAATCCAAATTTTAATATATTAGGTATCAACCTTAACTTTTTATTTAAGTCCATTATCAGTCTTAACTTTTTATTTAAGTCCAGCGACTTTCGTAATTTCTCCTACCTAGAACTCAACATATACTACTGTTTGTGGAAAATTTGAAGTAAAAAGAAATGAAGGAAAATTGATCTGTATTCCTTTAATCTCAGTTACAATTGGATTTTCTGATTAAAATGAAGGAAAATTGATCTGTATTCCTTTAATCTCAGTTACAATTGGATTTTCTGATTACAAAAGAGAGGAGAATGATCTGGATTCTCCCCTTTGTTTAATTCTGGGTTCTTCACGATGGCGATGGAATGTCTCCTTCGAATGCATGCGTTGAATTTGCTCTCCGTTGACGATCCGAACGTCTCAATTCACTAGAACAACTGATTTATGTGATGAGCTTGATTAAGAACTCTTAACGAGTTTTGTAACTCAGAATGAGTTAGAATTCTGTTAAACAGAATTGTTAAAATCGAATGATCGGTTAATATGCCAAGTGTTTGAATTCTTGAGTGCTGAGGAATGCTTCAAGATCTTCTTATCGCCCAGAATCTCCCTTTTGCTGATTTTGTGGGTGATCCAATCTCCAAAAATCCGATCCTAGTCCAATCTCCAAACCCCCCGATCGATCCTAAACTCTGTTGAGTTTGTTGATATTTATAAGGAAATTAGGGGTATAACTGCCCCCATAATCCGCGCCTAAATGAGGGTTTAGTCGCCCCATTAATCGGGTGTAACAACCCACGTAAACCACTCCCCAAATCATGGGTGAAGAACAGTTTCGAGGTTGTTACGAGGTCAAGCACAAGTCTTGAGTTGCTGGGCATGAACCCGCGTATACTTTTGGACGATGCGTCAGCGTCTAAGCTTGAGTTGTGTCCGCGGTTGAATTGGTACCGCGTTTGTGCTGCATTCAGCGACTGTGAACGCGGTGCGTTAGAGCTGCATTTGTACTGTGTCTGTGCTATGTTTGAGCTACGTTGACAGCTGAAGATATAGTGATCGCGTTGCTTTGACTTTGGAACGTAATCACTTGTATCTCAATCTCTGGGATGCAGGGATGACTTCCGCACCTCAATTTGAAGAAATTGTTGCCTTGTAATGGAAGTCGTCTGATTGTGACCTTCTTAGTCAAAACTGTCGTTTGAAGTCTGATAGGGGTGAACTATCTATTGTAATTTTTAGACAGCCTACAACTACTTATAAAGAGAATACCCATGTTAAAACTTTTGATTTCTCTTTTTACCCTCTCAATTTTTTATCTCTCAAAATTATACCATTATTTATAAAACTAATGATCCATAACCTCTCATTAATTATGCACCTCTTCATTTTTGTCAAATTATTTGGTCATTCACTAGCATATATTAATAATTTATAATGATAACAAAATATTTGGTCACTCGCTATAACATATTAATAATTTATAATGATAACAAAGTTAATAAATATATTATAATTCATTATAAAAGAATTATTAATTATAATGAAATAGTAAAATTATTTATTTAATAAAATATTGTACATAATTATAGTTATTAATAATAGCATAAATAGGGGTTGATTCTTTATATTGTAAGGAATATCACACTTTTCAATGTTATAATATCATCTTTTCAATGTTTACTATTTCCTTAAATGTATGTTAATAATAGTATAAGTATTAATTATAGTATAACTTTAATTTTTTTAATCATAGTGCGATTAAATAACTTAGTAAAATGTTTATATATAATTTATTAAATAATATAATATTAAATATAACAACATGTTCACGTATCACGTGCAAAACACGTGCATTATACTAGTCATACAAAAGCTACAAACAATGTTTCTCCTCATTTTTAAGTAAACAACAATCCACGGGAAACTATGGTCCCCGTATTTAAAAAATTTATACATTTTTTTTGAGAGAAAGGATGGAATACCACTAAGGTATTCCAGCCAGCTAAATTAAGATAACTGGTTGTTACAAAAAAAGAACATACTCCCAACCATAGAGCATGAACTACTGTTTAAACCAAAAACTTACAAAGCCAATCCACACCCCCATGTCCAAAGTACTAGACATAATCTCCCAAAAAGAGAACAAAAGCCCGACATAGCAAGCAAATACACTGCATACAACCCCATGCTATACACAACAGCAGAAAACAAAAGACTTATCTTTCCATCCACCAAACCGCAACAAACAATCTGTGAAAGCTTCATTCCAACTGGATCACTTGGAGCTCAGCCATCCCGCCAGCAGTTGTGCCATCATTATTAAGCCTCCCAGCAGCTTTTTTTCTCCTCCTTTCCTGTAACCTAGCAGCTCGAGCAGAAATCTCTTTAGAACCTAACCAGAAGGTTGAATAAGTCACAATTTTATTCAGGAGGAGAAGAGATCCTTTCTTTTTATTAGAAAACAATCTATCATTGCGTTCCTGCCACACACACCAGATCAGGGAGCAAATCAACACTAACTTCTTCAAGTTAGGCTCTCCACCAATACCACCACTCCAGCATAGCCAAACTTCTTTCAAAGAATTCATTCTAAAATCATTACTAGTTTTCAACTTGAATTGAATAGATCTCCAGATTGAGTATACAAACTCACAATTAAGAAATAAATGTGCATGATCTTCATCTTTTTTTGAACAGAAACAACATGTTTTCTCTAAATGAATACCCTTTCTATTCAGCATATCTTTAGTATTCAAACCCTCCCTTAAAGCCAACCAAACTAAGACCTTAACCTTTAAAGGAACAGGGAGGCCCCATAAATTCATACAGTCATATCTCACTCATCCATCATTAAGAAAATGATAAAAGGACTTGACAGTAAACATCTTTTTTGCTTCCCATATCCATTCTCTTTTATCATCATGAATCAAGAAATTCTTTGAATTAATAAGATTCATCAAATTAAGATATTGCAACACCAAATCACCTGTCAACTGTCTTTTAAAATGAATCACTCATCTCCACGAATCATTTTCAAACTCCCTCAAACTACTCACACAAGCATAAGGAGATGATGTGAAAGAGAACAAAGAAGGAAATAATGAGGCAAGAGTAAATGAACCTAACCATTTATCCAACCAGAATAAAGCATAATTTCCATTGCCAATCTCCACTCGAGTACTGCATAAGAATCTATCAGCATTAATTAAAATACTCTTCCAAAAATGTGAAAGATGCAATCTGTCAGAATATAAAAATTCAGACCAAGGTTTTCTTTCAAAATAACTATGAAAACTGATTTGTTTCCAAAGACCAGGTTTACCATCAAACCATTTCCATAACCATTTTCCTAAAAGGGCTTTGTTCATTACCTTCAAATTTTTAACTCCCAAACCACCACACTTTTTTGGTTTGCACACTTCTTCCCATTTAACCAAATTTGAACATCCTTTATGTTCCAAAGAACCAATCCATAAAAATCTTCTTCTCATCTTATCAATTTTTTCAATAACCCATAAAGGAAATAAAAAATAAGATAGCCAGAAAGTTGGTATCGAGGAGAGAACAGCATTAACCAATACTAATCTACCTCCTTGTGATAAGGAATTTCCTTTCCATAAAGCTAATCTTTTCTCAATTTTAACAATCAGAGGAGACCAATCATCTTTTTTTAATTTCCCAGGTCTTAAGGGCACCCCAAGATAAGTAATAGGAAAGCTACCACTTTTACAATTCATCATAGTAGCCAAACCCTGTTGTAAAGATTCATCATTCTCAAGAGCAAAGCCAAACCCTGTTGTAAAGATTCATCATTCTCAAGAGCAATAAGAACACTCTTGTTAAAACTAATCTGTAAACCAGATGCTAATTCACACTCTTGTTAAAACTAATCTGTAAACCAGATGCTAATTCAAAACAGTAAAGAATCAATTTCAAAACTGCCAACTGTTCTTTATTATTTTTACAAAAAATCAATGTATCATCTGCATACTGTAAACAATGAACTTTATCACTCATATTATTAGGTCCTAAACCTTCAATAAGATGGGACTCCACTGCTAAATTAAGCATTTTGGTGAAAGAATCTGCTGCCAAAACAAAAAGAAGAGGAGACAAAGGATCTCCTTGACGTACTCCTCTCTTAGACATGATCCAACTCCCTACTTTACCATTAATATTAATGGCAGACATCCCCCATGTAAGCATAATTTCACCCAATTCACCCATTTATCCCCAAATTTTTTTGCCTTCAGAACATCTAAAATAAAATTCCAATCAAGCATATCATAAGCTTTCACAAAATCTAGCTTCAATAAAATTCCCCCTCTTTTCTTATTCTGAAAACAGTCATTGATAATCTCTTGAGCTACAACGACCCCATCAAGCAAGTATCTATTTTTAATAAAACCTGATTGTAATGGATCAATAAGAAAATCAAGCTTAGTGTTCAACCTGTTAGTAAGAACTTTAATAATCACTTTATATATCACATTAAGAAGACTGATGGGTCTGTATTCATTAACAGTAAAAGAATCCATCTTTTTTGGAATAAGAACAATATGAGCATAATTCAGTCTATTGATTTCTAAAGTACCTTCATAAAATTCCTCAAACAGCTTCATAATATCATCTTTCACTATGTCCCAAAACACTTGAAAGAATAAAGCAGAAAAACCATCAGGACCAGGGGATTTATCCCCACTCATATCAAAAATGGCTTTATGAACTTCTTCAACCGAAAAAGGTTGTTCAATATCATTGGGCCCCCAATCAATCTCAGGAAACAATCTATTCCAATCAAGGAGACACCTGTTAGTAACTTTGTTCCCAAAAATTTGTTTGTAATGATTTAAAAAACCTGAGCTATACCATCTTCAGAACTAATTTCAACATTATTATAAGTAATTGAAGAAATCAAATTACTTCTCTTTCTCCCATTGGCAATTTTATGAAAGTACTTAGTGTTATGATCCCCCTCTTTTAACCATTGTACTTTAGATCTCTGTTTCCACATTCGTTCTTCTTGTAATAAGATTTCATTCAGCTGTAAAACAGTGTTATTTTTTTTGATCAACTCATCATCAGACAAATCTCTATTCTCCTCCAAAACTTCCCAAGTTAAAAGATTATCTAATAAATCTTTCTTTTGTTGTCTCACACTATGAAAATTTGAATGCATCCATTGTTTTATACATTTCCTCATAAATCTGAGTTTCCCAACTATATTCTTAGCTGCAGAACCACTTGAGGGAGCACATCTCCACCAAACAGGCACATTATTTATGAACTCTTCAGATCGCAACCAAATATTTTCAAATCTGAACTTTTTAACATAACATTGAGTATCCCCAAAATCAAAACTAATGGGAGCATGATCAGATAATTGACTGCTAAGCCCCTGCTGTTTAGAAAAAGGAAAAATATCTTCCCAATCAGAGTTGAAAAAAACTCTATCCAACCTAGCCATAGAAGGAGACATTCTCTTATTTGACCAAGTAAATTTCCTCCCATGTAAAGGACTGTCAATCAATTCCAACTCATTAATAACATCATTAAACTCCTTCATTTCTCTTCTATGATTATATTTACCTTTTCTTTCAGAAGAATTGAAAGTAACATTAAAATCTCCAACCACAATTCAAGGGTCTGAAAAGATATTTTTAACATCTTTCAACTCCTGCCAAAACACAAGCCTCTCTCTATTACAGTGAGGACCATAAACTGAAGAGAGAGTCCATTTAAAATCATTCTTTTTATTTTGTAGAACCACATTCAAAACATATTTATCAATTTTCTCTTGTAACTTCTTCCAACTAGAGCTATTCCATCCAATCATAATTCCACCAGAAGAGCCTTCAGAGGGTATAAAAGACCAATCAAACATATTACCCCCCAGACTTTTTAAAATACTCTCAGTAACAGAATTCAGCTTAGTTTCTTGTAAACAAATAATATCAAATTTGTTCAACTGACAGAAATATCTAACACCAAATCTTTTTGTATTCAACCCTAAACCTCTGACATTCCATGTAATCAACATGTTACCAAAACAAACACCTCAGAATAGGGACTGCACAGTCTACTCAACAGTAGCTCTCTCTTGTTCCATATGCCTCACTTTTTTAATAGGATCAAAATTCTCCTGAGGCTCAAGAAAAATAGCACATTTAGATGCATATTTCTGTAATTGATAGTTAGAGCAATTTTCAAACAAAATTGGAACAAAAAAAGAACCCATGGAAGAAGAAGATTCACCTGACCCACCAGTGACAATTCCAGAAGTAAAATTGTCATCAATCTGAAGTAGCTCTATCTAAAGCAGACATTGGTTCAAGAGCAGCAAATCTGGCACATCTTCTAACAAATGACACCTTCGTATTACAAATTGGATCTTCAGGGGGCAGAGACTTCAGAGGTTGAATCATAAGAATATCACCTTCTTTAGCCATATCTTCCTCAATGTTATCTGGACTTGATATCCCTTTATCAGAAATAAAATCTTCATTAACTATGATAGCTTTACCTTTGGATTCATCACTTATGTTAGATTCCTCCTCCACAACTGGTTCTTCTCTACCTTCAGAAGACAAAGGAATATTAACAACTAATTAATCGCTTTTACTAATATCTTCTTCTGTATTTTCCATGTTTATAACATTTTCTTCTATCCCAGCCATCATCAACTTTTCTAGAAATTGTTCCACATTATTATCCTTCAAAACATTATCCCCCCAAGGTTCCCATCCAGAACTTTGTTTCTGATAAAAAAATTTTGCATCCATCCAAAGCCTAGCAGCAGGAGATCCCCATGGAGTATTTCTCAAATCATGTCTAACAGACCAAGAATTATTATCAGATCCTATCAACGAAGAAGATCCAGTTCCACTATCTTTTCTTCCCTTAAACCATTTATCATTGTAAGAATTCTGTTTAGTATCATTTTCCTCCTGGTCAATTTTCTGTTTTTTCCTTTCTCCTTCACTAATTACCCCCATAACAGACATAATGGACACTTCTACATTGTATTGATTTTTACCAACAAAAATCTTCAACATCTTAGGAACATCAATATACTCCAAGCACCTAACCAACATCACAACGTCCACAAATTCTGTACCAGCACTTGTTAAAGAATCAAGTTCTACAAGATCCGCAAAAGGCTTCACCATCAAATCAAAAGATTCCTTATTCCACAGATGAGGTGGAACATTTTTCAATTTGATCCAAACACAAGAATTTCTTTTCTCAATAACATTCCCTTCCCAAGCATTCCATCGTCGGAGTTTAATTTTGCAAGATCTCAGAGAAATAACCCCCATCTTAATCAAATCATCTATCTGTCTCCAAGGTTGAATTTTAACCAAAACCTCGCCATTTGTAAACAGTCTCACATCCCAATGCTTATTCATAGGAAAATAAGCTCTCAAATCCAACTCTAACTTTTCCAAAGAAACATTACTACCTTCCACAAAAGAGATAATAGCATAATTTCTGAATTTTTGAAAACCAGAGTTCACTTCCCCCTCAAAATTAAGAACAACAGCAGAGAAACGAGGGCGATCACCTAAAATTTTTAATTCGGCCTCCAGATCCCCAAAATCCCTCGGCCCTTGATCTTGAAATTGAAGCACAGAATCATGCAATTTTTCACTATCCACCAAAGAAATAGGTCTTTTCCCTTTATCTACATGAACATTCTTCAGAGGTCGATCTTGATTTCTTGACGGTCGATCTTGATTTCCTGATGTAGAAAAGGCAGTAACCGCCTTCTCTCGTTGCCATTGCCAGGGATTGGCAACAGATCTCCCAACTCTTCCCCCAAAACGACCTCCATTACCACGACCTCCAGAAAAAACCATACCTCCAGAACTACGACCTCTTCCTTCATTACCAAAGCCTCTACCCCCGTTCCCGCGACCACTGGTATCAGAACCATGGCCAAGAACTCCAGATCTACAAAACCTCGCCTCGTGACCCACTTCTTGACACCTGAAACAGACTATTGGATCTCTACAATCTTTCGCCATATGCTTCGAGTTCACACAACGAAAACACAAACGATTTCTACGAACGAAATCAACCGAGAGAAATCGACGAGGAGCAAAACTTTTGAGATGAGAAAGCGGCGATCTAGGGTTTCGATTTTTTAACCACTTTAACCCATTCCCCTTCATCCACTCCAGCCGTTGATTCTTCTTGAGATCTACCCAAAGCAATCTCACCCGTCGATAGCAAATCAACCGCACCAGGAACCCTAGCCTCTCCCAAAGCAGGCCACGAATTGGGCTCAAAAGAATTGGGCTTCGAAAAATCTCCCCAAATATTACGAGCTACAAAACATTTTACTCCCAAGGATTCCTCTGAATTCTTCGTCGATCCAATGGGCCTCTCAAAAAACAACGATGAAGCTCTCGAATTCGCCAAAAAAAAATTTTCGGGCTCCATTCTTCCTGAATCCTTGACAAAGCTTTTTTCTGGTTAGGCTTGAAAAAAAAATCAAATTCATAGGATTTTTAAACCGAATTGGGCTTAAAAAGTTTATACATAATCTTGATTAGATTTAAACCGATATTTACGGGCAGCAGCATGGCTATCAACATCCATAGGATTTTCTCAATCTTTTTGTGGACCAACTATTGAGAGAGAGAGAGGCCACGACAAATTCAGATTTTAATTTTAAGTCATGGTGCATAAATTGTTGTGACTGATGCTTTGAGAAACCAAACCAACGAACGTCGAGAGAAAGACCAAACAAAACACAAACACCAAAGTTTTACGTGGTTCGGCAAATTGCCTACGTCCACGGGGCAAGAAGGGGGTGGGTTTTCACTAATAGAGAAGGAGAGTACAAATTGAGATTACAAATCGCTCAAACGAACCAACTAATCTCACCAACAAATCTCTCAATCTCTCAACCAATAACCCTAACAAATAGCTCAGAAAGATCTCTCTTTTTCTGTGCTCCAAAACCCCAAAACTCTCCACACAAAACCCTCAAATCGTATTGGTATTTATACCAAAACAGAAACCCAAACAGACTGCAAATAGGAACCTGAACTTTCCAAAAAACCCGTCATAAGTCGACTTATCAGTCTGCATAAGTCGACTTGGCAGAGCGAAAAACAGCAACTGGAGAAGAGATCATAAGTCGACTTATCAGACCTGATAAGTCGACTTGGTAGAGCAAAAAACCAACAATCCAGAGCAGAACGTAAGTCGACTCATGCACCAACATAAGTCGACTTACCATAAGTCGACTTATGCCTGTGCATGAGTCGACTTATGACCAAAAATCTGCTTTTTCCAATTCTTCTCCACAATTCTCCACCTCGGCGAAGTTTTCCCAAAACTGAGCCGACACCAACCAAACAAATGCCTCACATGCTGAGACCCAAATGAGAGTGTGAACACTCACCCCAAATGTCGATGTCGCTCACCAAATCGGCTGCATCAAAATGACTGCCTACGTATCCTTTGCCCAAGGAATCAAGCCTTCACGTAGTTCACCCAAACGGCCTCCAAAGGCCCTCAATCAAATAGAAAAGTCTGCAACTCTTCTCCAATATCACCAAACGATCTGCAACTGATAGTATTCCCAATGACCCCAAATTGAGACAAATCAAACACCTCCACCTGAGGTAAACCAATGGCCATATCCAAACTATATCTACCAGCTGCAACTGAATCCAAAACCAATCCATCATCTGCATCCAAAACCAAATGATCTCCAACCTGTGTCACCTTAGCTGGAATCCCAAATGACGCAGTATGATCTGGAGTATGTGGAGTAATCTCCACCCAACGTGGAGTAGCATCACTCTCCACCTGCTGCGATATCCAAATGACCTGATCAACACTCTCCACCTGCCGAGAGTCAAAAGTGACATACCTGCTCAGAACAAAATCAGAAGCTCCCAAACGATAATCAACTGAGCCTCCGAACCCCAAACGCGCAATCGGATCCAATCTCACATCCACGATGTGACCAAATGCTGGGTATCCAAATATCCGACGCGACCCAAAATCTGAAGCAGCTCCACCAGATCTAATAACTCCTAAAGCAGCAGTCGGCGACCTATGCATAAGATGACCCAAATATGTCGAAGCCCGCACACCAATGCCAATGCTCGACATCAAACGCCGATCCTCCTCCAGAAAGGAACGACCCATCGAAACTGTCATCTCATCTCGTCGCCCCAAAGTCTCCACACCAATGAAGTGTCTCCTATTGCCGTGAGCTCGGCACCAACGCAAGAAAGGACCCCTACCAAAGCTGAAACAATGAGTTACCTTTCTGCCAATACACTTCTTCCAATTGTTGTTGACTTCTAGGACTTTACACCAACGGGAACTGGTCGCGACCCAATAATGCCTAGAACAATCACCAACTGTGGAAACCAAGATACGATTACCTCCCAATGATGCCTCCTTGGAAGGCCCCCAAATGCCTGACTGAACACCTCCAAAAAGACCCCTCGCTCGATGGATAGAAGTGCCAAACTCCACCACGGTCTCGCTCATCCTAATGTGCTCACAGGACTTCAATCTGCAGGTCATAGCACTCCT